TGGCTACTGGTAGTGAGGGGCGGATGGACGCCCTAATTGTGATGAGTGATGAGCAGCTGATCGCACTGGCTATGGCCGGGCCAATCGGGGTCGTCAGTCAGGCTATTGCCTTCCGCCTCATCAGGAGAACCAGGGTGGGCAGCTTGGCAGCGTGCCAAATACAGTACTGGAGAGCCAAGAACTGTCTTCCAGTAAGGCCACACCTTGCCATGTGTACACTTTCAGGTCTCACTCTCACACTGCTTGGGCGTGTGTTCAGTTTTTGTCGATAGGGTGCTGGCAAGAGTTAATACGGGGCCTCCCATAGCTGTGCCGGAGCCCCTAATCTGCGCATGGGCCCCAAGTACGAATCGGCCCGCCTGACTTATTGGCTGCGTATGCCATGGGTCGCACAGTGTCTCATCGCCATGTTGCCGATTTCAGGTTATCTCCTCTCTCACTGCTGGAGTGTTTACATTTTTTTGTCATAGGGTGCTGGCAGATTAAGGGCCTCTCCATAGCTGCTGCCAGGCCCTTAAAACTATAAAAACGGTAAAAAAAAGATAGGAGCGGTTAAAAAATTTTAAAAAAAAATTTGGTCTAATCTGCCATGGATCCCCTATAGCGCCTCCTCATGGGTCGAGGGCCAGGTCACCAGAGTGTCTCATTGGTCCCTGTACGGCATCCCATTGCTGCTGTCTCCATCGCCACACTCTGCCATGTGCCCGACGTTCAGGCTGTCCTCCTCACACTGCTGGTGTGGTTCCATTTTTTTGTCATAGGGTGCTGGCCAGATTACGGGCCTCCCATGAGTGCTGCGTGCCAGGCCCGCTAATCTGCCATCGGGCCCCTTACCCGCCTCCTCTATGCTGTCCCGGCCAAGGGTCAAGTGTCTCTCAGGGGGTCCTGCGGGGCTGTAACGGCCTCCCATTGCTGCTGTCTCCATCGCCACACTCTGCCATGTGCCACTTATCAGGTCTCCTCACACACTGCCTGGTGCTGTTCAAATTTTTTTGATCATCGGGGTGCTGGCAGATTAGCGGGCCTCCCATAGCTGCTTGCATCCGGCCACCCTAATCCTGCCATGGCCCCTATACGCCGAACTCCTCATGCTGCTGCCCGAAGGTCTGTCCAGAGTCTTCTCAGGGGGTCCCTGTACGGCCGTCGCCATTGCTGCTGTCTCCATCATCGCCACACTACTCTGCCATGGTGCCACTTTCAGGTCTCCCTCACTCACTGCTGGTTGTGTTCAATTTTTTGAACATAGGGTGCTGGCAGATTACGGGGCCCTCACCATAGCTGCTGCTCCAGGCACCCTAAATCTGCCATAGTGGATGGCGTGCGCCCTGAGATAGTACCGCCTGCGACTCATGCTGATGCCAGGTCCAGGCGAACGTAGTCACGTAGGGCACAGGGGTAGGAACTTCTCAGTGTAATGAACAGACGAAATCGACAGTTGGCTAGTCTCCGCAGCAAACTGAAAATCTCAAGGAACCGATGTAGTTGACCGAGCAACGGAAAGAACATGGTGTTCTGCTTCTGGCGTCAAGGAAGGTTTTTGTGCCATGCGCCATGCACCTGGCTCATCGACCGTGTGCAATCCTGGTTGTCGAAGACGCGAGGTTCCCTAAAAGCCACCATTCCCACTGCACAAAGACATCCTTATAAATTGACCCGCCGTAAACCTTGCATGCATTTCAGGCCAATTCCCTACACCGCTTCAAAGCACCAACCCTACTTGAGCTGCGAGTCGGGCAGATAAACGGAAATTCCACACATGCTTCGCCTCGATCTCAGCGACGTTGGTTGCAACAAGGTGGTCAGTTCTCCTCAACCCTCTGTCTCACAATGGTAACATCGCGCCTTACGAATCAGCTGAAAGGACAATCACCGTTTTCATGATGTTACAAGAGTGTAAAAGGGTACTCCCTGTTAACTTCGATGACCCAGGCCATGCTGGCAGCTCATGCGTGAACACCGGCCGCTTGATCAGAGCCCTTGGACTCAGGGCCACGCCTATTCGTGAGGTCGGCCACAGGACTCATGGAAGATGAACGACGTCATTTCTGTTGCACGTCCCTGGAACAAATGCATGTTAACAATGGCTGGTCAGGGCATGTGCGGTAAGAGCGTGGCGCACGAGTCTCAACTCTACCATTCATGACGCCCTGCCGGGTGGCAGGACAGGAAGAAGAGGAGGAGGTAAGGACAAGGACATTTGTCGTCAGGAATTATTGAGTGAAATGGGTGGTTTCTTTCCCACTCAGACGGTCAGGAGTGGAGGAGCAGGAGCATCTGGTAGAGGAGGATGAGACAGAGGACCCAGACGCATCGTGGCAGTATGCTGTGGACTCTCCTTGGTGTCAGGGAGTCCCTCGCATTCCTTGGCACAAATTGCCCATGCATGCTCGGTTGCTTGCGTAGCGACTCAGACCGAAATTAAGGAACCGGGGCAGACATGATGGGAAGACGCTTTGGCTGTCCACCTTGTTGGGACGGCCTCGCTACCGGTTTCAAAAATGGTGGCCTTTTTCACACCTGCTGAGAGGGAGGCCAAAATTGAACGTACTATATCAAAAACCCCCTAATGTAGTTCAGGGGTTGGTCACATGTGGCCTTTGTGTGCAACAAAAGGCCAACGTCCATCCTCAGACTCTGTGTGGCCCTGTGCGCTTGCGCATTCCTGCGGCTGCCATGGCAGCAAAGGAGGGGTGGGGTGGTAGAAAGAGCATGTGGCAGCTCCACCAGCAGCGGCTGAGCTCAGTCTGCAGTCGATGATGAGTAGCTTTCTTCTCCTACACCAGCGCAGTGATGAAACTACTAACCTCCTTGCCTGCAGCACAGCAGCATTTCAGGTGGACCTGGAGCAGGACCTCAGAACAACAGGGCGTCGTTGGCCTAACTTGGAAGTAATTCCCTGCCCAACCGGGTAGACAATCCCCTTGAGACAACTGGTCAACGAAGATCTTGTCCTTTGGCCCCAACTAGCTGTAATTTTGCCCTTGAAAAGGCTGTCACAATGGGCCCGGCCTGTAGCGTGGCATCGTGAGCGCGTGTGTTTAGTGCAGCCATGGAGTAGTTGTCACTCCGCGGGTGGACACGACTCTGTCCACTCCAAAGTGGTGGACAGAGACTCACGTTTGTGGGATCGAAGTATGGAATCAGGCTGGATTAGTCAGGATTAAATACCAACATGATCTTCCCTGTACACATCTGACTTAAATCCCGCCCTGAATCATGCGCCCCTGCCATGTGACCACTTTCAGGGTCTCCTCACACAATGCTGGTGTGTTAATTTTTTGTCTATAGCGTGCTCGGGCAGATTACGGGCTCCCATCAGCTGTGCCATGGAGCCCTAATTCTGCCATGGGCGCCCTGTACCAGCCTCCTCATAGCTGCTCGCCAGGTCCAGAGTCACTCATGGGTCTCCTGTATACGGGGCCATCCCATTGATCGCTGTCTCCATCGCTCACACTCTGCCATGTGGCACTTTCAGGGTCTCCTCCACACTGCTGGACATGGTGGTTTCTCCCAAATAAGAATTATTTGTCAACAGGGTGGCTGGCTGATTACGGCCTCCTCAAGCTGATGCCAGGCCCCTAATCTGCCCATGGGGCCCCTGTACCGGCGCCTTTCTCATGCTGCTGCCAGGTCCAGAGTATCCTCATGGGGTCCCTGTACGGCCCTCCCATGTGCTTTGCTGGTTCCATCGCCACACTCTGCCATTGTGCCCACTTTCACTGGTTCTCCAGTCACACACTGATTGCTGTGTTCCATTTTGTGTCAGAGGGTGCTGGAGATTACAGGGCCTGCCCATTGCTGCTGCTTCAGGCCCCCTATCTGTCCATGGGCGCCCATGTACTTTCTCGCTCCTCGCTGCTGCTTGCCAGGTCCACAGTGCAGCACAGTCATCAGGTCCCTGTATGGCCTCTAACAACCATTGCTGCGTCTCCATCATGCCAAACTCTGCCATGTGCACACTGTTGCATGGTCTCTACAAAACACACTGCTGGTGTGTTCCTTTTTTTGTCGATTTAGGAGTGCTGGCAGATTACGGCCTCCTATAGCTGCGTGGCAGGCCCCCTTAAATCTGCCATGGGCCCCTTACCGCCCACCTGATTATCATGCTGTTGCCGAGGTCCACAGGTGTCTCAGGCCCATGTGCCCACGTTCAGGTCTCCTCACAACTGCTGGGGTGTGTTCACTTTTAATTGACATAGGGATTAGGCTGGCAATTACGGGACCTTCCTATTAGCTGCTGCCTGGCGCCCTTAATCTTGCCATTGCCATGGGCCCCTATCAAACCGCCCTCCTCACATGCTGGCTGTTCCAAGTCCAGAGTCGGTCATTGGGTCCCGGTGTTACGGGCCTCCCATTGCTGCTGTCTCCATCCGCCACACTCTCGCCATGTTCTGCCACTTTGCAGGTCTCCTCACACTGCTGGTGTGTTCCATGTTTTGTCATAGGGTGGATGGCAAGATTACGGGCCCTCTCCCATAGCTGCTGCCAGGGCCCCTAATCTGCCATGGGCCCCTGTTACCGTGCCTGCCTCATGCTGCTGGCCAGGTCCTGAGTCTCTCGAGTGGGTCCTCTGTTAACGGCCTCCCCCCTCCCATTGCTGCTGTCTCCATCGCCACACTCCAGCCATGTGCCACTTTCAGGTCTACTCCCGACACTGCTGCTGTGTTCCCATTTTTGTCATAGGGTGCTGCTGGCAGATTACGGGCCTCGCCATTGCTGCTCTGCCAGGCCCGCTAATCTGCCATGGGCCCCTGTTACCGCACCTCCTCATGCTGCTGCCCAGAGTCCCACAGTGTCTCATGGGTTCCACTGTATGGCCTCCCATTTGCTGCTGTCTCCAATCGCCAAACTGCCTGCCATGTGCCACTTTTCAGGTCTCCTCACACACTTGCTGGTGTGTTCCCAGTTTTTTGTCATAGGGTGTCTGGCAGATTACGGGCCTCCCAATTGCTTGATGCCAGGCCCCAAAATCTGTCATGGGGGCCCCTGTACCGCGCTCCTCATGCTGCTGCCAGGTCCACAGTGTCTTCATGCCATGTGCCAACTTACAGGTCTCCTCACACTGCTGGTGTGTTCTAGGTTTTTGACATAGGGGTGCTGGCAGATTACGGGCCTCGGCTTATAGCTGCTGCCAGGCCCCGCCATAAGTCTGCCATGGGCCCCTATAAAATAGCCGACTCCTCATGCTGCTGCCAGGTCCAGATGTCTCTCATGGGTCCCTGTACGGCCTACCATTGCTGCTGACGGTCTCCATTCGCCACACTCTGCCAATGTGGCCACTTTCAGGGTTCTCCTCACACTGCTGGTTGTGTTCCATTTTTTTGTTCATTAGGGGTGCTGGCTAGATTTACGGGCCTCCGTATGAGCTGCTGCCTGGCCCCTAATCTGCCATGGGACCCTGTACCGCCTCCTCATGCTGCTGCCAGGTCCACAGTTGGTCCTCAGTGCCATGTGCCTACTTTCAGGTCTCACTCACACTGCTCGTGTGTTCAATTTTTTTGACATGTAGGGTTGCATGGCTGTTTTACGGGCCATCCTATAGCTGCCTGCCAGGGTCCCTAATTCTGCCTTGGGCCTCTGTTACCCGCCTCCTCATGCTTGCTGCCTGTCCACTAGTGTCTCATGCCAAGTGCCAACTTTCAGGTCTCCTCACACATGCTGGTGTGATCCATATTTTGTGACATATGGGTGCTGGCAGGATTACGGGCCCTCCACATAGCTGCTGGCCAGGCCCCTAATCTGCCATTTGCGCCCCTATACCGGCCTACTCATGCTTCTGGCCAAGTCCCAGAGCTCTGTTCATGGGTCCGCCTGTAAACGGCCCTCTCATTGCTGCTGTCTCCAGTCCGGCCACACTCTGCCCATGTGGCCACCTGTTCTAGGTCCTCCTCCACACTGCTGGGGTGTGTTCCCAATTTTTGTCCATAGGGTGGCTGGCAGATTACGGGCCTCCTCTGAGCTGCGTGCCAGGTCCCTTATCTGCCAGTGGGCCCCTGGTAACCGCCTCCTCATGCTGCTGCCAAGGTCCACAGTGTCCTCATGCCATGTGCCACTTTTCAAGGTCTCCTCACACTGCTCGTGTGTTCAATTTTTTTGACATATGGGAGCTGGCAGATGACGGGCTCCTATAGCTTGCTGCCAAGGACCCCTAATCTGCCATGGGGCCCCTGTACCGCCGGTGCCTCATGTCTGCTGGCCGAGGTCCACAGTGTCTCATGCCATGTGCCACTTTCAGGTCTCCTCACACTGCTGCTGTGTGTTCAACTATTTTTTGACATAGGGTTTCTGGGCAGATACGGGCCTCCCATAGCTGCTGCCAGGCCCCTAATCTGCAATTGGGGCCCCTAATATGCCGCCGCCCTCATGCTGCTGCCAAGTCCAGAGTCTGTCATGGGTCCCTGTACGGCCTCCCATTGCTGCTGTCTCCATCCGCCACACTCTGCCATGTGCCACTTTCAGGTCTCCTCACACTGCTGGTGTGTTCCATTTTTAGTCATAGGGTGCTGGCAGATTACGGGCCTCCTATAGCTGCGATGCTAGCCAGCCCCTGTACCCCTAATGCTCTGCCAGGGTGCCATGCCTGTTCCACATTTAGGTCCCCTCACACCTCGTGTGTTCAATTTTATTGACATATGGTGGCTAGTCACGGGCCTCCTATGCTGCTGCCAGGTCCCACTAATCTGTGGGCCCCCCTGTACCGCCTCCTCATGCCATGTGCCATTGCCACATTTCAGGTCTCCTCACACTGCTGGTGTGTTTCAATTTTTGGACATAGGGTGCTGGCTGATTACGGGCCTCCATATAGCTGCTGCCAGGGCCCCTAAATCTGCCATGGGCCCCTGTACCGCCGTCCTCATGGCTGCGTGCCAATCCTGTCATGGGTCCTCAGTGCTCTCATGCCATGTGCCACTCTTTCTGGTTCGCTTTCAGGTTCTCCTCACACTGCTGGTGTGTTCAATTTTTTGACATAGGGGTGCTGGGCAGATTAGCGGGCCTCCTATAGCTGCTGCCAGGCCCCTAATCTGCCATGGGCCCCTGTACCGCCTCCTCATGCTGCTTGCCAGGGTCCACAGTGTCTCATGCCATGTGCCACTTTCAGGTCTCCGTTCACACTGGCTGGTGTGTTTTCAACTTTTTTGACATAGGGTGCTGGCAGATTACGGGCCTCCTATAGCTGCTGCCATGCCCCTAATCTGCCATGGGCCCCTATACCGCCCTCCTCATGCTTCTGCCCAGGTCCAGAGTCTCTCATGGTCCCTGTAACGGCCTCCCATTGCTGCTGTCTCCATCGCCACACTCTGCCATATGGTGCCACTTTCAGGTCTCCTCACACAGTGACTGCTGGTGTGTGCAATTTTTTTGACATAGGGTTGCTGGCAGATTACGGGGGCCTCCCCATAGCTGCTTGCCAGGCCCCTAATCTGCCATGGGCCTCTGTACCCGCCTCCTCATGCTGCTGCCAGGGTCCACAGTGTCTCATGCCATGTGCCACTTTCAGGTTCTCCTCACACTGCTGGGGTGTGTTGAATTTTTTGACATAGGGTGCTGGCAGATTACGGGGCCTCCTAAAGCTGCTGCCAGGCCCCTAATCTGCCCATGGGCCCCTATACCGCCTCCTCATGCTGCTGCCAGGTCCAGAGTCCTCATGGGGTCCCTGTACTGGCCTCCCATTGCTGCTGTTTCTCCATCGCCACACTCTGCCATGTGCCACTTTCAGGTCTCCTCACACTGCTGGTGTGTTCCATTTTTTGTCATAGGGTGCTGGCAGATTAGGGGCCTCCCATAGCTGCTGCCAGGCCCCTAATCTGCCATGGGCCCCTGTAGGCCTACCCGCCTCCTCCATGCTGCTGCCAGGTCCACAGTGTCTCATGCCATGTGCCAACTTTCAGTCTCCTCACACTGCTGGTGTGTTCAATTTTTGACATAGGGTGCTGGCAGATTACGGCCTCCTATAGCTGCTGCCAGTGCCCCTAAATCTGCCATGGGCCCCTAGTACCGCCTCCTCATGCTGCTGTGCCAGGTCCAGAGTCTCTCATGGGTCCCTGTACGCGGCCCTCCCATTGCTGCTGTCGGGTCCATCGCCACAAACTCTGCCATGGGTGCCACTTTCAGGTGCCTCCTCACACACTGCTGGTGTGTTGAATTTTTTTGACATAGGGTGCTGGCAGATTTACGGGCCTCCCATTTGCTGCTGCCGATGGCGCCCAGTAACCTGCCATGGGCCCCCGTACCGACTCCTCATGCTGTGACGTTGCAACAAGGTGGAATTCAACCCTAACATATGTTAGACCGCCTTTACGAACAGGCAAAAGGCCATCACAGATTTCCTGATGTTAAAAGCGGATAAAGGTACTCCCTGTGTAACTTAGATGTCAGCCATTGCAGCTCATGCGTGACACCTTGCGCTTGCTCAGGCCCTTTGAGGAGCCACGCTATATTCGTGTGAGTCGGCAGGTACTATGGGTATGAACGACGTCATCCTCTGTTGCACTGTCCTGAACAAATGCTGTTAACCAATGGCTGGTCAAGGGTGCGGTAGACGTGGCGCACAGATCATCAACGCCACATGACCCCTGTGGGGGCAGGACAGGAAGAAGAGGAGGAGGTAGAGGAGGACATTTGGTGCTCATGGAATTATTGAGTGAAATCGGGTGGTTTTTCCACTCAGGCTTAACAGGAGTGGAGGAGCAGGAGCATGCTTGGTAGAGGAGGAGGAAGAGGGAGACAGAGGACCCAGAAGCACCGTGGCAGTATGCTGTGGAGCTGGAGGGCTGGGAGTCACCGTCGCATTCTCTTTGGCACAAATGGCCCATAGCATGCTCGCGTTGCTTGTCGTACCGACTCAGCCGAATAATAACCATCAGACCAGAGAGGATGATGCTTTTGGCTGTCCACCTTGTTGGAGCCCTCGCGCTACCGTTCAAAAAATGGTAGGCCTTTTTCACACCTGCTGAAGAGGGAGGCCAAAATAACGTACTATAAAAAACCACCTATGTCCGGTCAGTTGGTCTCTGCCTTTCTGCGCCAACGTCCATCCTCAGACACTGTGGGCCCTGTGCGCTCGCGTTCCGCTTCCAAGGCAGCAGGGATGAGGGGTGGGGTGGTATGAGAGTAAGTGGCAGCTTCCACCAGCAGCAGCTCTGCCTCAGTCTGCAGAGTCGATGATGAAGTAGCTTTCTTCCACCAGCGCAGTGAGGAAACTACTAATCCCAGCCGCAGGCAGCAGCAGCAGCATGCAGGTGTGGACCTGGAGCAGGACCTCAAACACACAGGCTTAGGCCTACTTGGACAGCACAACCTGCCAACCGAGGTAGACAACTCCCCTTTGACTACTGGGCAACGAAACTTGACCTTTGGCCCCAACTAGCTGTGAATTTGCCCTCTTGAAAGGCTGTCATGCCCGGCCAGTAGACGTGGCATCAGAGCGCGTGTTTAGTGCGGCAGTAGGAGGTATTGCAACTCCGCGGAGGACACGAACTGTCCATCCCTAAGTGTGGAGAGACTCACGTTTGTGAAAATGAATCAGGCGTGGATTTAGTCTGGATTTCAAACCACCAGTTCCTGACACAACTGACTAAATCCGCCATGAATCATGCCCCAAACATGTGCCACTTTCAGTCTCCTCACACTGCTGGTGTGTTACCATTTTTTGTCATAGGGGTGCTGGCAGATTACGGGCCTCCCATAGCTGCTGCCAGGCCCCTAATCTGCCATGGGCCCCTATACCGCCTCCTCATGCTGCTGCCAAAGTCCAGAGTCTCTCATGGGTCCCCTGGTACACGGCCTCCCATTGCTTGCTGTTCTCCTCGCCACACTCTGCCATGTGCCACTTTCAGGTCTCCTCACATGCTGGTGGGGTTCCATTTTTTTGTCATAGGGTGCTGGTAAGATTACGGGCCTCCCATAGCTGCTGCCAGGCCCTAATCTGCCATGTGCCCCCATACCGACTCCTCATGCTGCTGCCAGGCCCGTAATCTGTCATGGGCCCCTGTTGTCGCTTGTTGGCATATTCCGCTCGTTCAGATGCCTCCTTCTCCTGCTACTCCCTCTTCACGGGATTCCGTCAGCAGTTCTTTCTTGGGAATCCGTTTCCAATGAGACAACAGTTTTGCGAGCACGCACCCGACGGTGCAGAAGCTGAACGTCCTCATCTGTCCAAGTTGACTGCTGCTAGGCTCGTAATCTGTCATGCGCCCCCTGTATCCGCCTCCTCATGCTGCTCGCCGAGGTCCAGAGTGTGTCATGGGGTCCCTGTACGGCCGTCCCATTGCTGGCTTGCCGAGGCCCGTAATCTATGCCATGGGCCCCCGTAACCAACTCCTCATGCTGCTGCCTAGGCCCGGAATCTGTCATGGGCCCCTGTACCGCCTCCCTCATGCTGCATGCCCAGGTCTCCAGAGTGTGTCATGGGTCCCTGTACGTGTAGACCTCCCATTGCTGCTGTCGTCCATCGCCACAACTCCCACTCATGTGCCAACTTTCAGTCTCCTCACACTGCTGGTG